TTGCATTACATAGTGAACCTTCGGAGCATAAAAATTTCGTAAGGCATGAATATTCCATTCGTAAACCTGCTAGATGTAAACGATCTTCCTTCAACGGCCCACCCCAGCCTATACAAATAAAAATTTTCCCGGTAGTTGACGGAAATGTGATACCACAACAGCCAGTCACCTAACCCTTTTTGAATATGGTGAAAATCATTCCACTCTTCTATTCCACAGAGAAACTTTTGGAAGTCATCATTTGGTGAAATAGGGCATTTCAGTTCCTCTATGCTGACTTAGCTGATGGAGAATTCGATCTATTCAGGAAGCCCTCTTCCACTTGAAACACTGTTTTGTTGGTACAGCTGAGTTAGCCAGTAATGGTCGAGTCAAATCTCTAGGCTGGTTGTTAGGAAGGGGTTAGAAATGTCATGCGGATACTGAGGCGTTCCTTCTACTTTGTCAGTGGGCTACTTTTAGTTTCTTGCTTATTAACGGATCGACTGTTGCACTTACTGGACATTCATTGGCACAACCAACTCTTTGGCACACTATGTGCCAGTCACTCTTTTGCATCCAGATTTCATCCTCCAGAAAAGAATCCGGTCTTCAAATAATTATTGTTGACGGAAAGAACTAGAAACGTCGTCTGAGGCGGGGAGAGGTGCAGCAAAACTCCATGTTAGGCTAGTTTTTCTACACTTTAAGCATAAAAGTATTCTCCTTGGTATTAAGATACAGATGGCAGTTCGGCTATCCTCCGCCTAACTCTACTTAAGTTTCTCGTCAAAAGAAACGATGCCTTTGTAAGTTTCACTATTTTTGCCACACCCTAATTCAGCAAAAAATAACTTTCTAGTAGACCCATTACACAGCTGTCATATCTTAATCGGTTAACATCGAGAAGTTGGCGTGCTTCTATCAGATGAGGTCAATGGCGTGAAACTGCTGATTTTCTAAAATCAAACATGGCCGTATATTGATCGGACCCAACGCTTACCGCACCTGACGCGAATCTCTCAAAACGAGCAAGATCTGCGTCAGGGAATTGGAATTGACATCCCGCTCAATAGCCGACTCCATAACCTGAAAAGGGCATTGTAAATTTCGCTCAAGTCGACGCACTTCTGCCTAAATCTTTGACCTGGTCGGATTCCTGAGAAATTCTACGCGTTCGCTCATTCGGCTTGCATGTGCTTTTGCACAGCTGCATAAAACTCATCACCGCACAAGTCATGGACATGCCTGTATTTGTATAGGCTAGTTGGTATGAGCCATTTAATCACTGTGTATTGACAGCAGGCGCTGCGTCAGACTGAATGGTGTTAAGTCGAAATCTTTGAAAGTTAACACACCTCCCCTAAGGGTGGCTTTTACCTCTCTTCTGTGTTGGACATCGACAAAACACTCCATCGTAAAAAGGGCGACGAGTGTATCAGAGTAAGACATGGGAGCCGAGAAATGTGTTGTTTGCAGACGATCTCTTTTTTTGGCTCTTCCAAAACTGACCTTCGGTGTTCTTCAGAAAAGCTCGTATCCAAACGCGATGTGGCCGCTATGCCTATGATCTTGTGTGAAACGAGAGACCTATTTCTCTTTCGATTTCATGTCCTCTACACTATGCAACTGGTCTAAGGAGCAATAAGTTGATAAATTTTTTTCCCAATACTTTACTACTTTTTTTTTGCAGCCATCAAGGCAAATGTATTTCCATTTGAGCGATTTCTATTTTATTAAACATGTGATAAGATAGGTGCTTGCACATCTAGCGGACGTATTGATGCAACTTATGTTTTACCATACTTAAGAACAAACTTTACTTTCAACCTGGCACTAAAATCAAGCAGTAACAGCCTACTGATCACATGACATATGCAGTAAAATTACCCATTATTAGAATGAAACAAGTGACAATCAAACATTAACAGTATATAAGTCGATGTTAAGAGAAACAGAAAATAATTTTTTTATTTAAGAAAAGGCAAACGACTAATCGGCCGGAAACAGTATCATACTACACTGGCGCAGAAACGATCGCTGCTACCATCACACTGATGACACCGGCCATTTCATGACCATTTCATTTCTCATACGACCATGGATCTAGAGATCGATTCCATTGGCAGATCTCTTCTGGTTTGAACCACAAGTTGATTTCCCGTTCAGCAGAAGTTAATGAATCGCTGCCATGTACCAGATTCCTAAGCAAATGGATGTGCAAAAAATGGACTATAAGTAACTGCTGAAGGATGTGAATATATAGCTAATCAGTTCAAAAAAGGATGCAGTGCGTACAGAAGAAAAATACACCATATCCGCGATACTGAAAGAAGAAAATAGAGCTTACTAGACTAATTCCACGTAAAGTGTTTTTAGGACTGCATGTTGGGAAGAAGCACTTTTTCAATCAATACAGCAAACCGTAAACACTTATCAAAAATTATGAAACCATTATTTAACAAAACTGCGATAACAGGTAAGATGGAACGAATATCAGCAGACCGAAATTAACACAGAGTTTACACCTAAGATTTAAAAATAGTGTAAATCTAAAACGGTTGCTTTTCTCATTCACAAATACTGAATTTATTCAATTATGTTTACTTAAGAAATAAGTGAGCTGTTACAGATATTTTTATTCCGAAGACCGGATTGGCTAAAACGCAAGATTCACATAAACTTATTAAATTTCGTCCATCAATCAACAGCTACATATTAAATGTTATAATAGGTTGCGCGTCAATTCGTAAAACGTTGATTCTTTCGAGAAAGGCAATAATATATTAAATCATTTTATGTCCCCAAAACTCCCCAAACTCTTTGTAATAAAACACTTTTGACAACCTTAAGAATGAAAAGAAGTGTAACAAAGATCTTTGCCAACATTATCGCTTACCGGTTCTTTATATAAGCAGCCTAAACACAAATAGTTACTATTTTACTAAGACTGGCCTTCACCATCCAAGAACATTGGTGCCAATACCCCTTCGCCCATGAAATCTCTCTCTCTGTCCTTTGACTCCATTACTGCATGCGGTGGTGTAGCCTTTTATTCACATTGGTCGTGCATTCATGTGAGAGGATCTGTTAATCTATATAAATCTCGGAGTCACTATGGAGCGTTCCAAAGATTTTTCACCGGTTTTAGTGATTAACACATACGCCCATACCGATACTCTAGCAGTTTTGAACCCCCTATACCGAGAGACACAGTTCTGGCACAAAGTAAGGCTCGTTCATCGTTCGAACGGAAAGGGGAATAACTACACTAGGTAAGTAGTAGTCTTGAAACGCAACATCGTTATGTCATTGCTCTGGATTAAAAAGTAACTGCGCACTCCTTGACTACGTACTAATTAAACCAATTATAAAATAAATAGAAATAGTTTATCTAGATGCTGCCTAAATTTATAAAGTCAACGTTAAACGATACCTAGGCCCATTGAAAATTTCCACTTGGGATATGGATTATTCGCTGCCCATTTCGTGTTTATGCGCCGAAATACCGAGACTTTTTATTACAAGTTATATCCTGGCTTATAAAAATTTTGGAAGTGGTTCGTTTAGCCCTGTATCCTGACTGTGTCTTTATTTATTGTTGATATATTACATGTTCAGTGTGCCACGCTGTTCGTCATCTAGTGCGTTCCCGGGTAGTCCATAGAAGAACAATCCCCAGATATGGACGTTACCAGTGATAAATA